TCAGAGCCTGGAGCCTGCTTCGGATTCTGGGTCTCCCTCTTTCTTTGCCCCTCCCCTGCTGGTGCTCTGTCTCTCCCTCTCTCTCAAAAATAGATATTTAAAAAAAAAGGGGGGGGTAGGATAGCTTGTTCTGGAATGATCCAGAAGAGTGGAGAAAAGGGACTGGCTTCCTATGGCAGCAAGTTGCTGAAGGAAGGTTCTGAATGAGAGGGGGAAGGATCGAATGTGAGCATTAACCAATCACCAGACCTACCACCAGTGGTACCCGGGGAGGCAGGAGGCAGGCGCCGGCCACAAGTAGGTATGGAAAACGAGGAAGCCCAGGGAAACCCCCAGGTCTGCTCTCCGAGAACGAGGTCAGCAGTGACTGAGCTCTGAGGGACCGTGTGAACAGGCAAGTCGAGTGAACCCCTCCAGGACCCACGGGAGACACCTTGTTGCCGGGAGAGCCCCTCTGCTCCCTGTCTGGGGTGGGAACATACTCACCAATGCCAGTGAGGCAGAGCACAGCCGTGGCCACTGGGACTTCCTCATCAGGCAGATAGTAGGAGACCAGAACCTGTGGAGACAGCAGCCAGAACCCACGGGAGGGGAGGGGACAGGAAGAGGGCTTCGGCTAAGTACCCAAGTCCAGCCACTCGACTTTGGTCTCCTCTTACAGCTTCTGACATCTGGGAGCTGGGGCAGGGTCACAGTCCCGTCTAAAACCTGCCACGACCCCACCAGGCACTTCCACACGGCGGCCCCACCACACCCCATGCAGGTGGGCTCTACCCCAAGGTCAGAGAGACCAAGGCACTCGGCCCTACATCGCTCCACTAGGAAGGGGCAGCACAAGGTTGAAGTTCCAGGCCGCCTGGCTCCAGAGGTCAAGATTTAGAGGTTACTCCCCATCCTCCCCACTTTCCACCCGCATGCCTAGTAGCAGTGGGCCAGCATCCCCCAACTGTCAAACTACTCACTCAAAAGGAAGCAGGACACCCAGGGTGGGGACTGGAATCGGAACTTGGTCTTTCCCACGTCCTGCACCAGACTGTTTCCGGGAGAGCCTTTCTACTTTAGACAAAGACCTGCCCTTTGGCCACCGGTGGCCTGGGCCACAGAGCTTCGTGACAAACCAGAGAACGAACCAGTAGCTGGGGCCATGCTTTCGTGCCTGTGACCCATCACCTGTTCCCAAATGGAAATTTAGGTCCTCCAAGGTCTAGCGTCTCCCCAGCGGGCCACTCCTGATGGTTCTGGAGGCTGAGCCCCGGGCAGAGAATGCTGCTCAGGTCCTCCGGGCTCAGCCAGGATAGATCGCGGCCCTGGAGGTCACCTGTGAGCCACGCTGCGCTCAAGCCTGCCACCTGCTTCCTAGGGAGTCGCCAGCCCTGGGCACAGAGCACGGAAGCGGGTGTGTACCACCCTCCTGTCATCTGTCAATTACCAGCGGACCACTCCAGCAGGTTCTGCTGGCCGAGCGCCCTAGTCCTGAGCGGGCCTCACCTGTGTTCTCACCCTCACCTCACATTGGAGTCACCTGGAGGGAACTGTGACCCACAGAGGCCAGGGGCTCGCTCCCAGAGGCTGACTTAATTGGCAGGGGGTGTGGTCTGGGTGGGGTTTCCAATCACCCTGCAGTGCCATCAGCTGCCGTCCCAGAACCACGGCCAGTGCCAAATCCGTGAGGAGCCTGCCCTACAAGGAACTGATTCCCCCCCCCCGCCC